AAACCAAACTAAACCAAACCAAATCAAATTGAGTCAAACCAAATCCAAACCAAACTTAACCTTGCCGTGCCGAACCAAGGAAAGCAAAAAATGTAATTCTTATCATCTTTTCACAAAATGGTGGATTAAGCATATCAAATGTATTCCTGGACAAGATTTGTCTATTATATTTCTAAAACCCTCCTGTATATATTATATCTTGAATATTTTGGTTAAAACCATTCATAAACCTATTGGATTCTAATATTTCTTCTAACATTTAAGGAGTATACTTCCACCTCCTTATAGTATTTTTCCATTCTTTGCGAATACTTTGCAGTAGAAGTATTGAGAGAAGCTTAATGAAAGAAGCAGAAAAAACAATGTTGTCTTGATACAGTACCTGTACTGATTGTGCAGCAGAATCAAATAATGTATTTAGATAATGATAAGCACGTAAAACTAACTCACTTAACCAGCATTAATGTGTCTCTGATTTGCTCTTACTTGCTTTTATTGCGAACCAGCTTATGGCCAGCAACTTGTCCACATTAGATAAATCACAAAATAGTTCCAACAATGCCAAATGTAATACGAATTCATAATTTTCCTCGTTAACACAATCTATTATTAGCATTCTTTTGTCATTGACGACATAAATATAAAGCAGAGCTTAAATCCTAACTTTGAATTGAACAAGTGTGCTTATCTCGGAATTTATGTTGGCTGCAAAAGTCTTGAATTATTGAACTGATAAAGTCATAAAACCCAACTAACCATAGTTTGTCAGTACTCAGTCAAGTTGTCAAGTAGGCTGGCAAGTGTAAAGAGTGAACTTTTTCATGGCAGGCATATTAAATGCCTTTTTCTAGTTGTAGAGTTACTTTCAGATAAAGATGATAACACTACATACAGAGCTCAATGAGGAATGCACCAAATCAACTGTGCAGTACAAGAACGATTAGCATCTGCATGCTCAGAGGCCTCTTCATTCTTCTTGCGTTTGCATTCTCCACACCAGCCACTACAATCATTCTGGAAACGCCTCCACTTTCCAAGACGCGAACTGCAAGACAACATGCAAGTGTCAAAGATTTTCCTTCTCAAGTAGTAAGAAATATAAGTTATTCTGCATAAATATAAGTCTCTCATAACAGTAAGGTAGTAAACATACCTCTAGTTCACACCCAGTAGTTAAATGTTCATCACATCGAACACCCCGGAAGAACAGTTGTCCGCAGAAAATTGATAGCCCAAGCAAATATTCAAGCCTATATGTGCGTCATCCACATGCAAGTCTGCAACAATATTGCTCATTATATTTTAACAAAAGCATGCAGAGCTGATTTGTTCGGAACTTGGACTAATTGCATACCTTAAAGAGAATGATTAAAGTAGATCAACAAAAATACTTGCTACAAGAAGTGGCAAATCGACAAAGCAGTGACCTATGTTTGAGAAACTAACCAACTTCTCCATCCCTAGTGAGTCCATAATCAACAACAAAAGCATAGTGAGAGTCCAGCGTTGATCCACCAGATTCACCGTAGGAAACTACAAATATAATTCAAATTGCCAAAGTGAGTCCACACCATTATATTAGTTCTTCATCTCAGTCATAATTTTCTAATTCATTCTGATTAAGAGAAAAAATTTACCTCGAGTTATGTAGGCTCTATGTATTCTTCCCTAAATCTGTGAAGCATGGGTTCCAGGCCAAGATCATGAAGAACAACGCCATGTTCATGCAATATATTTGGTCGCGTGGTTTTGAATTTGAGATCATCGGCCCATCTTAAAAAGTAATCGACCAAAGCAATCAGATATTAATTAGAGCATAATATAGAACGGAAGAATTGAATATATGATTGAGAAGGAAAGCAAAATATGTAATACCTCACGTATCATCTTTTCACAAAATTGTGGATTAAGCATATCAAATGTAATCCTGGAAACGGTTCGTCTATTATATTTCTGAAACCCTCTTCTGTATTTTGTTCAATTGCAACCGAGAAATGGTGTTCTGAAAAAGTTCTTAGGATCTATAATATATATATCCCAATTGAGACGCTGCAAATAAAAGTGAACAACTAGTATAAGATCTAGCAGAGTTGGAAGATTCTAAGTTCAGAAAATTCTAATGTTAACATGTGCATTCATAGATAAGTACCAAATAACATATGCCCTGTTAACAAGTTCAAGAAATTATCCCATCAATTCATCTTTCACAATTTTGAGAAGAACCTTAACATAAAACCTTCAAGAAAATGTGCGATTTACAAATGAATAAAAGTGATGTTTTCAGAGTGTTAAAAACTTACTGGATAATTCACAATGTAGTGTGTCCGCCTTCGAAACTGTTGTAGCCAGCGCAGAATAAAAAAAACTTAAAAGATTGAATCACAAAACCAAGCCAAAGGCAAAATAAAAATTTTAAAAAAATAGAAGAAACACATATCACTGTCATACATAATAACTCACTGTTAACAAAACAAGAAATGAAGTGCTCACTTGTCATCGCCTTTTTAGGTTTACATGTAATTCTTTAATTTCAGTAAGCAAATACACATGTTATTATGATACAAAGTGAAAAATCTTGGATGCAAGCGACGAATTGAAATTATAGAAGAAAGTGAAAAACCTTGTAAGAGATGCAAGATATTCACTGAACGTATATTGTCTACTGGTTCATCAGTTTCTACATACGCTTTGAGGTAGGTTCTTGGAGTCCTTCCATTGGAGAACTCTTCCAAGTAAGGAAAGGTATGTTTCTTACAGCTTCTTCGGAAGTCATTTTCTTTGAAAGAACTTTTACAAGAAGGGGAAGGTATAGACGTCAACGTTCTCGTTAGCCTTCAATGGAAAGAAGGGAGAGTTAATACAGAAAAAGAGATGATAAAGAAAGAGAGGATTGAAATGCAATTTTTCCTGAATTCGAAGGAGCAAAAAGCAGTGCAGAATTGTTTTGAGTGCGTTATGTGGTGAGTTGGAGGATCTAACTGTATATAAAGGAGTGAATGAAGACGCTTATTGCCATAAACATGATCGTAATAATAATAATAACTAACTCTAACAGAAATAACGAATCAATTATTGCATTCAGTCCGTTACTACTGCTTCTTGAATATAAAGAAGTGTAATTAAACCTTATTCATAGTTTAAATTACCAAAAAAAAAAAAAAAGAAATTGGCGATTGTTAAACCACAATAATTTGTTGTCCAATAGAAACGTTTTTAACATTCTTTTACAATATGAACTTTGAACAGTTAAATCTAAAAGGGAAGAAAAGTTACCATGAAATAATCAAGAACATAAAAAAATCAAAATTTTAAAAAATCATTTTCCTTGTATTAACTGTAAAAATATACTTCTTTTAAAAAAAGTTTTGGTTACTAACTTAAAAAAAATAAAATTTTTAGCAAATACTTGCTTTTTATGAACGGATATTTTTGCCAAGTTTTTCAAAAACAGAAGTGAGAGGTAAAAATTTAATTTCCTAGTAAAATACAATTTTTTATCAAAACGTATCATTATTTTTGTTAAATAAGTTTTTTTTTTTCTTTTGTTTATGTATGAAATGCCAGATAGGAGTTGTTCGAAGTAATAAAACGTTAAATTTGTTCATTGATGCTTGGTTAGAAATGGCTTCCTTCAATCTTCAAAGTTAAGAGGTAAGATTCCAAACGAGAAACCAAAAGGAAAGAAAATAAAAAACATCCATTTACATTATGAAACGAATGCCTATAACTTTCAACTAAAATAATGTTTCATTTCGTACAAAAATCTAGAATCTACAAACTATACACGCACGATTTGCATGTGCAAGTGCACGAGACCGATTATATTTCTCTTTTCAGTAATTCCTGCAATGTGAAGACAAAGAATTTGTTTCATGGAAGATGAAAGCATTAACATTAATCTTTGTTGATCCTTTCATCTCAAAGAGCGCTATTGTTAGATAGTGTTACCTGTTGGGAGACCATAAGCGATAACCGGGCTCTCTCCTTCTTCTTGCGTTTGCATTCTCCACACCAGCTAGGAAAATCTCTCTGATATTTCTTCAACTCTCTGAAAGCCGAACTGTGACAGCAACACGAAGATTCATGCATAATGTAAATTGACAAGAACTATACTTATGATTTGCAAATTGCAATCCAAAGTTTCAAGGGGAGCAGTGTGAGAATTTTGCTGCTTCAGTGAAACAAGGGGCCATGCTATGTCAATATTTTGTAGTAAGAAAAAGTGATTACACACCTTCTACACCAGATGATTAAATTCATCCTGTTCCCAGATGTTGTAGGTCTTGCACCATGCCGTTGACGGCCAGGATGAAGAATTGCGTGTCCTGGAACATGGGAATAATTGAAGATCTCCTACAAAGATACGTTGGTGTTATTTATTTAACGAAGTAAACGTATGCATGAAATTTCTATACTTATCACCAATGTAATAATACTATTTTGTCAATATCATGTTTCTAATATTTTCCTGATGCTATTGAATTTCGGTATGAATGACATGAAATGTATAACTAGGAAAGTTATAACAAATTTGTCCATTAATGCACTTAAGAATTAAACAGTACGTTAGGATTTAAGTGCAAGGTGTGAAACTAGAGACAAATTGTTCAGCATAAATATAATTTCCCATCATGACAGTAATAAGGTAGTAAACAAACCCCTGGCTGGGCTATTGATAGTACATGTTCTTCACATCGAACACCCTGGAAGAACACTTCTCCGCCAGAAAATTCTTTTCCCAAGCAAACATTCAAGGAGACTTCTGCATCATCCACATGTAAACCTGCAAAAAGGTTGCTCTTTAGATTTCAACAAAAAATCTGGTGTCAGAAAACTCCTTACCATGCAAAGTATATGGGATGGTCGTATTCAAAGAGACTATTTCCAAATTTGAACCCTTGACCAACCCACGGGTTACTGTTTAATTTTAAAGTACACAAGTTGATACGTTTAAATTTACTAAAGATAAGCCAAGATTAACCAAAGTATCATTGACAGTTAGAGTGAAAAACATACTGAGTATTTTCTGTCCTTAAACAGCAAAAAATTCACGCCGGTTTAAACAACCTACTACCAGATATATACTCTTTATACATAACTACTGACAATTATTTTCTACACATAACTGCCATAACTGTCCTTGATGATTAGTTCCTATTATTACTGCTTGCTGGAAAAATCAGCCTTGTTCCCAAGCTTGAAAGTTGGAAACTGGTTTTTCCACATTATCTATATCCACTTCAATAACAATTAATTCTCCATCTGCATTTAGGGCTTCACTATCTCCCAAGTTAATCAATTTTAATTGTTTCTCTGCAAATTGATGTAAGGGATGAAACTTTTATCCGTGCATAAAGTGTAAAACACTTGTTTTTTTTTTCTTTTCCATCAATAATTGGTATTTTAAGTGTCACACACCTCTATTGATCTCTGCTGAATTTTATGGTTCGCACTTTGTTCTTCTACCCAAGAATGCTACAGATGATAAGTTCCTTTTGTTTTGGTCAGATTGATTGATATTTGAGTTTGACCATGGACTGAAACAATTCTGGCTTCCAATCACCGTTGCAGTCACCTCAACATTAGTAACAACAATAATTATTCTTATATCACTTTAAGGATCATACAACCATTTTTTGTACTAGAAGATCCCATTTTCGCATACCAACTTGCACTCCCTGGTCCAAATACAAGTGCAGTTGTTTCTACCTCTATACTTTGTGCATACTGCATTTACTTAAACTTTTGTTTGGGTTGAGAAGTTTGCACCCGGTATTTAATTTCAGGATGCAAACCACCCTAAAAGATAACCCAAATATTGTTCTTCAAGTAAATGATTAACTTGTCTAAAAATTTATATTTTAACCTAACTTAACTCTATAAAACCAACTTTTAAGGTGAGCTTGCCACCTCATCTATATATTTTACTTTTAGTCATACCACTAGTTGATGTAAATCTAATCCTTTGACGTTGCAATTAAGGTAACCTCCAAAGAGGTGGCAAATAATGTGGGCTAGGACTGATCCCGGTGAAGGCAACTTGCCAAAAACTTTTGATGAGAGAAATTCAAATGCTTCTCATCCATCAATCTCTCCTATTACAACAGCTAGGTCAGGGTTTTCATACGGTTGGCCCCCAGATTCTTGTCACCATTTGCTGCTTCAACTTTGCCCACATAAGTCCATCATCTATTTCTCTCAATAGATTAAACCAATGGATAATAGAACCCTTCATGCTTAAGTTTTAATCTTCACTAAGATTCTAAACTTAAGATTCTAAACTTAAGTTCTATGCCTGATGATCTGACTTTTTTCTCCTCATGCTTGTCCATCAACTTTCTCATACAAAACAAAATTTCTCAAAATTTGCCAATTTCTTGTTCAAACTGAACCCGGGCATGCAGCCCTTTCAATTTCTCTTTCAAATCAAAAGTTCTATATATCACACATGTCATGATATTTCTTTCTGCTGCTCACAAGAATTCAACCAGCAATTATTTTCTACACAAATTTGCCATAAATAATTGTCCCTATATCATTTCCTATAACTAAACTTCAGTCATTTAGATAGCTTGTTTAAGAAGGATAGGATTTTAAAATATTTATTAAAACGAAAAGTATGAATGGAATTTTATATATACTATCATTTTATTTGTTCCACTTTAAACGGCTCACAAATTATTAGAGAATATATAGTTGTAACAAAAATTTTACCCTCCCACTCCACCTCCAACCCCAAAAAAGATAAGGTATCTTCACACCATAGAAATTATTAGACAAAACAAGAACATAAGGCATTGAGGCTAAACTTGAGATTGAAAAGAAATAATTCTTCAGGCCTTAATTGATCCCTCTCATAATCTTCTATTTATAAAAATAAATTGATACAAGAGTACATGATAATTAGGGTAACCTTATTAGACACAATA